TGTTCTTTAAGATGGCTGCTAGGTCTTCTTCAACTCTATCTCTGTTATTTCCATCATTGTTGTCTGTCTGTGAAATGTACCTCTTTAGGAAAGCCTCCCCCTTCTTTTTGTCTGTGGGTAATAGCACACCGTCATCTCTATGAATTGCTCCTACACACAGGGTAGACCTTTCTTGATAGTGCTTGAAAAACTATACCTTATCTTTCTTATCTCTTTCCGCGCACTCCAACTCCTTCTGTGAGCTTAGGGCTGTCTGTTGCACTTTCTTTAAATGCTTTACTGCATCTCTAATTTCCATTCCTGTTCAACCTCTGATTTCCACCATGAGACCGCACAAAAGTATATCTATGTTAAAGCCCTACACTTGTTGTTGGGGGGGCCTTAATATAACCTAACAATTGAACAGGATTTCTGGGACTTCTCCCCCGAATTGTGGCACTATGTGTTACTGGGTGTTTATCACTCAGTGTGATGTCCTAGGTAAAAATTAGAAGTGCCACCATTCGGACCAGGGCACAAGTCCCAGAAACTTCCTTTAACTCTTAGGTTATATTTAGGGCCCTTGACGAGAGCCGGGTCGGGGCATTAAAATAACCCCCAACAATGCGTTCATTATTAGAACGAATTGTAATATATTTCATTTTTATATTTTCTATCGAGGCCAGGTAATCAGTAAAGAATACTTCAAATCTATTTCGAATATATTTATTCCTGGGCGTCTTTGTATATATTGCCAATGTTGGTGGTAACATAAGTGGTGATAAAACACATCCGTGTCTTGCTGCAGATGGTAGTGCAAATGATTTAGATGTCCTTAATTTATTCCAACCACCAACCCATAAGCGCCAGTACTTATTAGACAAGACACTAAGACTTCTACAGGAAGGGGAAGACAAATTATCTGGTGTGCTCCATTGCTCTGAAGTTTTATCATTTATTGCCTTGAACATTGTAGGTAAAACAAATAAATCGGACCTCCGTGGCATCCAGAGAAATTTACATCTCCACTATGTCTGGGCTGCTTTCAAGATAATACAATAGAGCATTATATAATAAACTGCACTAAATATAAACTGGAGAGGAAACCCATTGAGGAGTATTTTCTAAAACGCAAACAACAGATTACTGCAAACAAATGTTTAAAGGTAGATACCAATAAAGACATCCAAAAACTGGTTAAACAGTTCCTTATTAAAACAATCCAAAACGAAAAAGACCAGATTAAGGATTTACTCAGTACAGCAGAAGGAACAGATCAGATGGTAACTCCGGACACCCTAGCGTAACGGAGGTAGTGTAAGTATGATGAGTGCATAGATGTGAATATGGATACATACACAAGGATGAGTGCGTGTAGTATGAGTGCATTTATGTAAAGGATGGATACATAAGACAAGATGTATGTAGGCGGATGGTAAGGGATCACGTATGGACAGGACAGTGGGAATATAGCTGTGCGAAAAGTACAGATGAACGAGTACATGGATATAGAAATGTATTACTGTATGCATGTATATGTGGGTATGAGTGTGCATGTGTGTATATATATATGGGAGCGTGTATATGTATATATTTGTGTGTGTATGAATGACAGTGCACTCAAAGAACCCATAAATTGTATTGCTGCATGTCTGTTAATTAATGAGAACAAATGGAATGAAGTGTGTACGCAGCAAGAACGTCATCAACACACACCAACCACCAGAATATGATAAGACAGTACCGGACAGGTCACATACCAGTAACGGGACATAACTTAAAAAGTGACACGACCAGACGATATTACAGACATAGCGACACAAAACGCACAAGACATGGAAGAGTGAATGTCACTACATGTGGATGTGCTCGTTTTTTTATGAATGTAAGTATAGGCATTGGTAGACGCATATAAAAGAGTTTGCGTGTGTACGTAATGTCAATTAGGTATGCATACACGGATAAGTATGAAAGGACGTGCAAATATGTAGTGTTGTCTGCGTGTATGAGTACTCGAGTGCATGTACGCATACACCAAGTTGAGTGCGTCCATAAACTCCGGGGATTCATACATAAAACCATCCCATTCCACAGCATGCATACAACATGCACATGACCGACAGGACTCACAACAAGATATGACTGACAGCAAATAGGGAAAACAAGTGACTCGATAATGACAGGACTAGAACGCATAACCACCAATACCACCCCATCGCTAGGATGATAGCAAAGGTTGGTGATGTGATACACATAGTTCCGACAAAAGGCCACGCTAGAATCCAGCAAGACGGCAACGACGAGAAATGACTGAATGGCCTCCCGCCCCCTTTCCCCTCACCCTTCCCTAACTCTTTCGGATGCACTATGAGTTTAACCCCCCAACCCATTTACACAGAGAGCACTTGAGTTCGTTACCCAACATGCCACAGCAATTCTCATCGCCGAACATTTGGATCTCAAAGCGTGAGCTGGATGCTCTGGTTATATGGTATTTACGTACACCGGAGCCTAGCTGCCAACACAACCCGATTACATAATAACAAATGATTACTGGACCCGCTTAAGGCTCCACATAAACTCTCACACACGTATCCATTACAAGACTAACCCGTTCATATTACAGGAAGACAACTATAAGACCACTATGGTCACACGCTGAAAATTTTCACATTTCGGAACTATTCAAATTCAAAAACTGTTTTCAGTACTTTTAGGCAAAATAAAATACTAAAAGTTTTAAAACAATAAATGGTGGTGCAAAGGACGTTGTGTATGGAAGCTCGCTCTCTTTCGAGGTACGCCTAGCCAGATCAAAGGGAGACAGAACAAACAGGAAACACCAAGAAAGAAGAAGGAAGACATGCACCAGTGACAACAGGACGAAGCGGTTTGATTCAGATGGAAGCATCCAGCCCAGAAATGGCACAAACACTAAAATTCAGTCACGAAAGTGACGCAAATAACCCAGACCACAAATATAGGCGGAGACTGCTAGCAGCCTCGGCTAGCTAGCAGCAGTCAGAACGTGGTCGAGCTTTTCTTGGACTTGGACTGTAGTAAGTATGACAAATAAATTAGACCTCCGCGTAACTGTAGGCAAACCACATAAATAGTGCATCCGTGCGACTGTAGTACGACTGTAGTGCGACTGTCACGGCGCCTCGCTCACCTATGCCAGCAACTTAAGCCGCCCCTATCGTGGCGCCAGCACCAGAAGCCTCCCCTTTCGAGGAGCCAACACCTGAAGCCTCCCCTATCGTAGAGCCACCACCTAAAGCCGCCCCGGTCGTGGCGCAGAGACCTACCAGCACCCGCCTACCAAAGCAGCAGCCTGGAGCCCACACCACGGACATCATGCAGTGCTCACGCTGCAACAGGGCGTGGCACACCGCCGCGACCTGTCGCAGTGGCCCTGTTTGTCGGTACTGCTCGAGGGCCCACGACTTCAAGGAGCGCCCGCTAGCCAAACTCGTTAGCGACTTCAAAAAGCCTAACAAAAAGCGGAAATGCAGCAACTGCTCAGGTGCACACAGTGCGAGGTACCTGGGTTGCCCATATCTTAAGAAGTGCAGGAGAGAAATGACAGCCGCCACCGTCAGAGACACATACCAGTCGCCCACACAGCAAGAGGCAAGACAGCCGAGAAACATACCAAGAGACAGACAAAATGATAAGGCACGCTCCGCCACCATGCAAAACGATATACCGCAAATAGTCGATGAGCTGAAAAGCCAAATCACAGCACTCCAGAAAGAAAGAACCACCGCGGCCGCTGAAAGAACGGAGACCCTAGAACTGATTTCTCTACTGCTAGGGGAAATCAAGGACCTAAAGGCAGAAAGGCTGGCATACGCTACCCAGCAAACAAACAGACAGTCAGAAGACGCAGAAAACCTCCAAAAGACCAGAGAGCTACTTACCAGCCTCAGAGCAACCCAGGTAGAAGAAGAATTACGCCGCCAGTTAGAGAGAGATGAGAGAAGGAAGGAGCTGGCCGAGATAAAAACTGCACGGGAAGCCGCATGTCGCGAAGCCGCCCAGCTAGAGAAGGCCACCGCAGAAACCGTAACATCAACACAAGCAGATAAAACAGAACGAACCCTGCTGGAGAAAGAAAGAAATGCTTTTAAAAAGCCAAATACCAACAGGGCTAACAAAGGCGTCTCCACTGACAACGTTGCAATGAAGCATCAGGCGCAAATGACTGAACCAGATGAAACCAACGAAGAAGAATCAGAAGAGATACCAGTCATCACAAACACAGAACAGTCAGATGGAGAAATAATATTCGATGAAGAATATACGCAAGCAGAGCAGGAGTTTCCGACTGCTAGCAGTGCACCGCCCAATGAAACCGCACCGTACGTCTTCGATAAAGAACAATTCCTAAGAGACCAGGAAGAACACTATGCACTAGAGAACTGCCAAACATGGGACGCAGAAAATCAAACGTGGAGCCCACTACTACAAACCACCCCTACCCAGAGAAACAACCGAGGAAGACGACGACGCTGCTAACATAGCAAAAGCCAAAAACCCGAGCCGCCATCTTTCAGGAAAAACCAGCCCGCCAAACGAATGACGCCAGAACCCCACCAGAACCTGACAGCAGAAGCCAGACCCCACGCATCCCGTTCCAGGCCACCCAGGCACATATGGCTGTCCTTTTCAGGACTGCCATGTCCACTCCCAAAAACCGCTAGCCGCCCGCCAAGCCCACGCTGCTGACATGATGCAACAAATGAAACAAAACAGGCCATCAGGCGGTTGAAAAAAGGACAAAGCTTATCTTTTTTTGTTTTCTTCCATCGAACGAACGAACTGTAGTAGGTATAACAAATACGTTTTAAAAAAGTACTTGTACGCCATTTGAAATAAAACTGAAAAGACATCACGCACTGCCAACTTTTTAAATAAGGAAAGTCAGCTGAAAGTTAATCTGAACAGACAAGAGGCAGTCAAGTTTTAAATAAGGCTATTCAGCTGAAAATTAATCTGAACAGACAAGATGCACTCACGTGAAAACATTAGTTCTGTGCTCATTGATTCCTCGAAGGGCTGGTCGTTCAAGATCCCAACGATGACGTATTCTCCTGATTCCGTGAGACCTTTCTCGTGAAAGCGAGAAACAAAATCTTGCAACATTGGCCAGCGGCAGTAAAGGACGTAAACTGTGCCAGTAGACATTAGAATATATCAGCATGTCAACAGTTTCAACATTATATGTCAACATGTCAACAATTTTAACAGAATATGTAAAGATGTCCATAATTTCAACAGAATATGTCGACATGTCAACAATTTAAACAGAACATGTCAGCATATCAACAATTTCAACATAATATGTCAACATGTCTTGAGTGGGTATCGGGTGCAGTCCTGGGAAGCAAAGGCGGCCGGCGTAATGCTGAACACATCACCCGTCTTGTGCTGATTAATCTTTAAAAATTTAGTTCTAGTCCTATATGCCCTATACACCTAAAGGCGTGGAAAAGGGACCTTTACTTTACCTACGTTAGTCAACAGTTTCAAAGAATATGTCAACATGTCAACAATTTCAACAGAATATGTCAACATGAACGTGTCATCAATTTCAACATAATTTGTCAACGTGTCCACAGTATCAACAGACTATGTCAACATGTCAACGATTTCCACAGAATATGTCGTCAACATGTCAACAATTTCAACAGAATATGTCAACATGTCAACAGAATATGTCAAAATGTTTGCAATTTCAACAGAATATTTCAACATGACCATGTCATCAATTTCAACATTATATGTCAATGTGTCAACAATTTCAACTGACTATGTTAACCTGTCAACAATTTCAACCAATATGTTCAACGTTGTGACAGTGCTTTCCTGTAGGTATTTTGGCTAAATGTCTGGTATTATTCAGATGCTCAATATACATTCCTGCTACTTCAATTCTGCTTGTGTTTTGTGCTGACCCATCCGTATAGACACGAACCCGAAGATTTTGTGGGTATTTATTAAGTAGAGAGAGGGTGGCTGTTTTATGTTGCACACTGTTTGTTCTTCCTAGCTGAATACTCCTTTCACTTCTGTCTGGATGTGTGTTGGCAATTTATAATCCTCTTTCCAAGGGGTCTGATCTGGAATATCTCTTAAGGGGCTACCATAAGCTGCAGGCAAATCATAGGTATGCCTGCAGAGTTGTTCGGCCCGGTGGATGAAACTGCTTCTTTTTAGTAGCCTCATTGCTAGATTTGGGCATCTTTCTTTAACAGGGTGTTCATGCATGCTAAGAAACTTCTCTGCTTGTATTAGTATCTTAGTGTTTCTTCATTGAGTCAGTGTCTGAGTCATCGCCATCATCTCTATCACAGCTATAGGTGTTGATTTCCTCCCGCCTGTTATGACTCTGAGCGCTTGATTTTGCACCTTGTCAAATTTTTGTAGTGTGCTTTTCGATGCTGAACACCATGCACTAGACATGTGTTCAAGGTGTAATCGTTCATTTTTTTTAAATAAAATTTCCTATGTATGTTCCCATTTGCGTCCTGTGTCGTTACATTTAGTTCCCTAAAGAATCTTAGGAACAGTACACCACCTTGCGGAACACCTTGGCGCAGAAAGACTTCCTTGCTCTTGAGTCCGTCTATCTGCGCTCGGGCTCTTCTGTTATACAATTTTGCTGTCACCTATCTGTACATATTCCCATCCAACTAGGTAGTTTCTTATTTTCTTCATGAGTCTTTCTTTTCAAACGTTCAAATCTGTCCATGCCACAAGCACTAGTTTCTTTTCCTTGAAGTCATCTTCAGTTTTTTGAGAGAAGAAAGTTGTCTGGTCTTCTATGGAGTAGCACTGTCTAAAGCCTGCCTGCTGCGGCGGGAAGATTTTTTTCACTTTCAATGTACCAATGAAATCTAAGGTTAACAGTGCGTTCCATTGTTTTACAGAAACAGCTGGTAAGACTACGCGGCTTACAATTTAAAGCACTGGAACTTTCTTTTTCTGGTTTTAGGAAAGGTATCACAGTTGCTTCTCTCCATATTTAAGGAACTTTGCCACTGGCCCAAAAAATTACTAAAAATCGACAGCAGTTTTGTGTTGGCTGTCGTCCCTACGTTTTTTGTCATTTCATTGGTTATGTCATCGATTCCAGGCGACTTTCCCATTTTCAGCTTCGATTTTGCTCTCTAACTGGCTAGACGTAACTGGCGCTTTCATTACCTCGGGAATTACATCATTTTGTTTGAGTGTTGTCGTTTCTATCGTGCCTCTCGCTGCTTCTGTGAGTTGACATAAATGTTGCTGTCTTCAGCAAATAAGTCTGCAAAGTAGTTAATATTATTATTATTTTTTTTTTTTTTTTTTTTTTTTTTTTTTTTTTTTGTTACGATAGCTCCTTCTGCATATATTGTAAAATTTGCCTCTCTTCTTGTGCTCTAGTCATTGTTTTATTAGCCTTCACAGCTTCCTTCTGTCTCTTTCAGAGTTCAGAGACTTAATTTTTTTTTCTTTTCTACTATACCATTCTAGCCTGCAGCTTGGTTCTTTAAAATTTGGCCTTTGCATGTTGGTATTTGTTAAACAGCCCTTAACAAGGTCTGATTTAAGCTTTGTTTTTGTTTTTTCGGTTTCCATATCATTGTGGAATTGATTGTTATAGATTACAACTCCACTATGGTTTATATTGCTTGTGTGCACCTCTTGGTATTGTTTCCAGGGCTGCCTGCAGTATACATTTGCTGAACTCTTTAACTACCTTGTCTACATTGTTATCTGTTTAGATATTTTCAACCAAAATACTTGAAGGTGCTGATACATTTTCCGGTCTGCCTTCTTGTAATTCCATCTTGTTAGTGGAAGACTGGGCGGTGAGCACTGCCTCCTAGTTGTTTCCCAAGTCTAGAAATATCGCATTCCATGTCGGCTGAATAAAAACCTAGGTCTTGGGTAGAGATGCTATGCCATGTCAGGTGAATGAAAACCTAGGTCTAGGATAGAGATGCTATGCCATGTCGGGTGAATGAAAACCTAGGTTTGGGTAGAGATGCTATGCCATGTCGGCTGAATGAAAACCCAGGTCTTGGATAGAGATGCTATGCCATGTCAGGTGAATGAAAACCTAGGTCTAGGATAGAGATGCTATGCCATGTCGGCTGAATGAAAACCCAGGTCTTAGATAGAGATGCTATGCCATGTCGGCTGAATGAAAACCTATGTCTAGGGTAGAGATGCTATGCCATGTCGGCTGAATGAAAACCTATGTCTAGGGTAGAGATGCTATGCCATGTCGGCTGAATGAAAACCTAGGTCTTGGATAGAGATGCTATGCCATGTCGGCTGAATGAAAACCCAGGTCTTGGATAGAGATGCTATGCCATGTCGGGTGAATGAAAACCCAGGTCTAGGGTAGAGATGCTATGCCATGTCGGCTGAATGAAAACCCAGGTCTAGGGTTGAGATGCTATGCCATGTCGGCTGAATGAAAACCGAGGTCTAGGGTAGAGATGCTTTGCCATGTCGGCTGAATGAAAACCTAGGTCTAGGGTAGAGATGCTATGCCATGTCGGCTGAATGAAAACCTAGGTCTTGGGTAGAGATGCTATGCAATGTCGGGTGAATGAAAACCAAGGTCTAGGGTAGAGATGCTATGCAATGTCGGGGGAATGAAAACCTAGGTCTAGGATAGAGATGCTATGCCATGTCGGCTGAATGAAAACCCAGGTCTTGGGTAGAGATGCTATGCCATGTCGGGTGAATGAAAACCCAGGTCTTGGGTAGAGATGCTATGCTATGCTGTCGAATAGAATGTTGGTGGTTCGGCTGGCTTATTATTGAGGATGAATATGTTTTCATCCTGCCAGTCATCTAGTCTCTCTCTCTCTCTCCTGAACAATGTGATAGTAGCCACAGCTTTCTAAGTGACTGATGAAATCCCCACTCACAAACATTATTTTATTGGTTACTTTTGTATCCAGTGTCTAAGGGCGGTCGCTCGGACAGTAATAATTGTTTAGTTGAAAATCTGTTTTCTGTCTTGAGCTTAAGGATCTTATAGTCAGCCCCTTCCATGTATGTTTCAGTCTGGCATGCAAATATGTAATTTTTGAATAGGATTAGTATTCCATCCATTCTTGTTAGATCGCTAACATTGATAACCTCTGATCGTGAAGGCTGTTGTTGACGATAGGTCTCTTGAAGGCAGCATACAAGTATCTGCTCTTTATTCAGTGTTCTCTAGTTCTAATTTGTTTACTTTTTTACCCTCTCCCTGTTCCAGTGCATTATTGTGAGACTAGATTTATTTGCATATACAGTTATATATAGTGTTCTAGCCTGGCATCATGATTTTGACGGTGCGCCTCCTGGCTGGTTGCCTCTGACTTCAGCACCTAATTTTAATTAATATAGTAGCCTAGATAGACGTACTGGCACATTGCACCTAACTGTCCACCCTGACATGTGTGTGCGCATGTAGACATGACTTCGGCACTGTAAGCATTATTGACACATCTACTTAACGCCGACGCAGCATTGTTGTTTCGTTGACCATTGCGATGCGTCCGATGTGGTCAGACGACTCTGACTATGAACCTCATCAAAATGAAGCCAATGAGAAACACAGTCCTGATGCATTTGAGAAATACTTCTACAGTGTTCTTGCAGTCATTATCACATCAAATATACAGTTTAGATTCTTGGTCGACAGCTAAATATATGATTTTTGTAAACAATTCGAGACGTAAAACTCTTGCGATCTTTACAAGCCAGTCTAAACCTGTTTTTCCAATAATAAACACTACCCCCCCCCCCCACCCCCACCCCACCCCCACTGTCAGTCGCCCCAGCACACAGAATCGTCGATGGCACCCACAAAGGAAGGAGAACAACTGTACTAAAGAGCTCCTACAACTCCACCCTGGTCGTGACACAGCTGAGCAACACACACCCTGTATTTATTTTTAAAAAAAACTGCCTGACTGAGAAAAAGAGGGCACAGATTAAGGAAACTACTGCATCAAATAGGCATTTGAAGACAGAAGGCTCCTGTTGATCTGACTCCTCCGTGGAGTTTCTACTACGTATATAGCAACAGGGGAGATACAGATGAGGTAGAGAACGAGAGAATAAAACGTTTTTACACTATCCTGGGCAATTAAATCTGGCATATATAAGCCCAAGGCACTTACTACGGGTCTCCTGGAAGGTCCGGTCAATAGCCGTGTAGAGGGACTGGTAGTTGTAGAGGGCGCTGTACGGCCCCGGAATGTGGATGTAATGATTGACGGTGAAATTAATCTCTTTGGCTGATTTCTGGAGGTCATCGCCGGCTCTGGGCATCAGCTCTACCTGCAATGGTTGATTCCTCTAGCCATTATTACTACAATTATTTGGCACAAGTAGAACAATCATCTCACACAAGTACAACAATCATCTCACACAAGTACAACAATCATCTTACACATGTACAACTATCATCTCACACATGTACAACTATCATCTCACACATGTACAACTATCATCTCACACATGTACAACCATCATCTCACACATGTACACCTATCATCGTGCACACGTAGAACAATAATCACACACAAGCACAACAATCATCTCACACAAGTACAACTATTATCTCACACATGTACAACTATCATCGTGCACACGTAGAACAATAATCTCGCACAAGAACTATAACTAGTCGCACAAATACAACGATCATATCGCACAAGTACAACAACCATCTCACTCAAGTACAATAATCATCTTCCATAAGTAAAATAATCATCTCGCACAAATACAACAATGTTATCTTACAAGTACAACTATCATTTTGCACAGTATAACAATAATCTCCGACAAGTATAACAATCATTTTCCACAAGTACAACAATCATCTCTCACAAGTACAACAATAATCGCGCACAGTAAAACAATCATCTCCCATAAGTAAAACAATCATCTCCCATAACTACAACAATGATCTCTCACAAGTACAACAACCATCTCGCACAGATGCAACAATAATCTCGCACATATGCAACAATCATAACTCACAAGTACAACAATCATCTCGCACAAGTAAAACAATGATCTTAGCACAAGTAAAACAATGATTTAGCACAAGTACAGTAATCAACTCGCAGATATTGCATACCTAAAGACATGATTTAATGTGTTTATCACTAAATATGAAAATGTGGCAAACTGAGGTACAATAAAAAAGCTCTTACGTTTGAAAAACACTTGATAATTGCCATCAACAAGTCTGAAGGACGGCAAATTGAAAAATAAACCGAGAAAAGGTCATAACTGCATCAGCGAAGCTCAACTGCTGTGACAAATCATTGGATCGCTCAAGCAGAAGACACAATAAGACAAGTATGCATGCTGAAGAACAATGAGCGACGAGAGAAGTGGGTCAGAGCGGAAAAGCCTAAGCTATGTTAGGTCATGATGACATTAGGCCGGGAGTGCAGAGAGTGGCCAGTGGGGGCTGCTGAGCTGGACGCCCAACGAGTGATTCACAATAATTCTCGTCCTGATGATCTGATTATCTATAGAGATGGTTCTGTATTGAGAGGGAAGATAAGTGCCTGAGGTTTTATAACGAAAACCAAAGGACAATTTTTAGTGTCGGACAGTCTGTCAAATGATACCACAACATCTAATGTGAGAATTGATGTGGAGGCGGTCAACGGCAGCTCTCAGGTGGCTAGAGAACTAGATACATACACATGTCGTAATTGTAACGGACCCTAAAAGCATGCTGAAAAAAGGGAAGACAGGATCACTTCGAGCAGAGTGGCAAGCTTCACTGGAAAGGTCACGGTACCATCAGTATTTGAACTGCGCTGGCTGCTGAGGATGAGGACGGACTATGCATAGGAATGCCCAGAGTTCTGTGATGTCGATTCTTGACTCAATTAAAATCAACTCCAATCATGTAAGAGAACGTGGCATTACAGGATCGGAGTGATGGTTCCTCCCATGTGTCTGTCATGTCTTGGTGTATCTATAATCAATCTATTAAAATGATCTTTCTTAATTCTACAAACAAATATCGCATTTTATTTCTTGAACTACGATATTCGATAAAACTGTTGTTTTTATGTACCGTGTCTCGATCTCCCATAACACCCAGAACTTCACTAGAGATCCATGATGACTTAGTTTGTGTTTTTAACTCTAGCTTATATAAAAGGCATATGTTTATCACACACACACTGTAAACTGTTTTCCTCCAGTATGCTATACCATCGTCCGTTTCCGGAAGATGATATACATGATCTCAGCTATGCGTTTCGAAATTTTGTTTATTTTCAATTGAAAGGATTTACAAATTTATAAATTTAATTGTGCGATGCTTGTCTTTATTAAATTCGAAATCAAATTTTGACTGTGTACCGCACACACTGGATAGTTGTCTGCCCTAATGGGAACTGTCCATTCTATCATATTTCCTGGACAACAGACATAAATATGATTAATGGTAGTTGATTATGCGTTGGTAACTCTCTAGGGAAATTTTTTTTAATTGTTTAAGGTTATACGATATAATATTATATTCCCTTTGCCACCCCCCCCCCTCCCCACCCCTCTTCCTCCTCACGCCTGGTTATGTTTATTGCTATCAATGCTAAAGTCTCGTAACAGTATAATTTCCTTTCCTACACTACAGATTATATCCATTATAGAAGTGAAGTTGTATAACAGTCATACCTGTAAACGGATTTTGATTGCAATTAACCAGTGATCAGTTTATTGCTGATTCGACGGCTAGACTTTCACACACACACTCAACAGTTTCGGATTGAAGATCACATCTTCGGATATATTTGGCAGATTTTGAAATGTACACCGCTGTGCCCTGTCTCAGATTTTCTTATCGCATCTTTACAAAATAATTTCAATCCCTAATTGTGGTTTCTTTACCATTAGTGTTTTTGCTGTTGCTTAGATGACTTCTGGCAATTTCTCAAATGTGAAAATGTTTGTATGAGTCTAACCAAGAGCTCAGGTAGTTTGCCCAGTAAATGGTATTTATAAAGATGCTCTAACGCCGATCATCCCTGCCGAACCACTGTCTGTGATTAGTGAACATAACATTTTATGCAGAAAATATCATTTGTAATGTAATATTTGAGGAGCTACATAAGGTACTTAGTAAATACTTTTACTTCTGAAATAGCATAGTCTCTATGTTGAAGCGACATCATGAACGCTTGATGCAGATCAAAATGTTGAATGTTGAATGTTGTATTAATCGACATCACAGCACTCGGGACACTCCCATAAGCGCTCCGTCCCCATCTTCAGCAGCAATCAAAGAGTTAAAATTCCGATGGTACCAGTAACAGTCTGATGGTATATCCGTCTCGCTCCTCCCCAGAGTGTCGAGCGTCGGCCAGATCCCCGTGTAACTCCTTGCAGTGCCATTCTCCTCAGACCGTAATGATCTATCTGTTCCTCGGCACTGTTCACTCGCCCCCAAAGGGCCCTCACAACATGCAGCTTGTCATATATCAGTTCACCACCAAGTGTTGTAGAACCGGCCAGTCTATCCGCCTGCAGATCCAGCAGCGTTGAACTTGTTGCGGTACTGCAGTTCACGGCGCCGGGGAAAGTAAGGCGTATAACTAACTATATGGTGACGGGTGACTAACGTGTTCATCTCTTGTAGATCTGTCTTTGCCAGTAGGCATCTGGGACAAAACAAAATTGTTTGATGGTGCGTTCTTAGGTTTGACGGGAGAGGAGGATTATCGGCAAGGGAGGAAATAAAGAATCATTCATTTCAGCATCTGGTATGGGGCTTGTGTGGTCATCCACCTGACTGTGCACTTGAGGTAAGGACATGTTTGGTGTTGGAGGGGAGAGATTGGTTTGTAAATGATGAGCGGTTGCCACAGGCGTAGACAGTGTTCTCTTAACTCCTGCATCCAGTGCTGAGTATTTTGTTCGCTGATAATATTTTTCTTTTTTTCGCAAGAATGCTGTTTCCTAACCCAGAGATGTGAATTTGTATGGAAAAAGCGGGGGGGGGGGGGACACTAGAGGATGGAGTAAAGTATGGGGTATGGTTTAATTTCTCCAAAGTTAAATTGGCCTCGTCTCCAATACGGCCCTGGAACCTATAATATATCACATATTCATGGATGATTATCGGAATTTACTGCTGAGCAGGACCAGCAATGTGGATAACTGTGATGTACTAATGATCTGGTTGTTCACGATGTCGTAAATATCCATGTGCACTGTGTTTCTTTGAAGAAAAAGGTGGAAATATAGTAGACACATTCTGAGACAAAGTAAGCAAAGAATTATAAAACAATGACTGAGGTGGGAAGCAAATGGTCTGAGAAACAGGAGGACGTCAAAGGCGAACATAAGGAAGAACATTTTTACGAAAGACAAAACAAATTACTGGACTGAACTCCATGTCAGAAATCGAGAAGTTACATGCAACAGAGAGAAAGGCATGGAGAAGTTGAAAGCTCTGTCACGTCTAATGGCATACATGGTATGATGATGATAGTTTTCACTGTAAGCCCGAGCAAATTATCAACAGAATATTGTCAAAACATCGTCGTTTCATTGTGAAAGGGTGCTTTGAAGTGTACAAATGTGCGAGCGCTGTGACCTATTGCAAGAAGAAACAACAACAACGAAAACAATAATAATAACCAGAAAAAACAAGAAAGATCACACTATATATATATATATAAGTGCTTGTGTGTATGTGAGAGTGCGCATGTGTGTCTGTATGTGTGTGTGTGTGTGTGTGTGTGTGTGTGTGTGTGTGTGTGTGTGTGTTGGCAGGTGTGATTTCTATAATTCGCTGTATTTCGTTCAGAAATTTGCCATTTCGCTGACAAAATCAGATGTTTGGGTCAGCACGAATTAGCAGCTATTTAGGCATACTAAACTATACTGCAGCTGCTAAGTGAATTTGGCCTTTTCTTGGAAAATCATCTCCAAATATCTGGAGATTCTGGAACAGGGAATCCGTCATTTGTATCTGCCAGTATGGAGAATTTATTAAACTAGAGAGTAAACATGTTTTTTTTGTTGTTTGTTGTTGTTGCACTATACTGAAGAAATAAACAAGTCAAAGAATTGGTCAATAGGCGTAGATTCTAATCTATACATCCCACAAACAGATCAACTGACATTTACTGCCGGATTTATGTCTTGTCCGCTCTACTAATCAGTGAAATACACTGGCATCTTTATGATAATTCTGTGCGATCAGGCATCTGTTTTACATAAGATCGTCAGCAAATTTAAAAAATGGGGATAAGAAAACAAAACATGTACTCTATTCACTATAGCCGCAAGACCTAACTGAT